CTGACCATGTATTAACCCATTTAATCCTCCTAATAACCTTTACTAAAGATGAGGAAACATAGGGAGGTCTCTACCCATGAGATGCTAGTAGGACCCCAGCCCAAGTTGTGACAAACCAAAAATGTCTCCAGACATTGCCAAATGTCTCCTGGCAGACATAATTGCCCCGGTTGAGAAGCACTGCCCAAGTGTCGTCCTGTTCACCCCATCTGCCACTGTCCCAGCTCAGGCTCACTTATCTCTCTCACTACGACAATTGTGACAGCCTCCTAACTGGCCCCCTGCTCCCTCCACCCCCCCCTCCACTGTACATCTTATCATGCTACCTCCCCCAGCTATATAGCCTTCTATGGCTCCCACTGCCCTGAGGATGCCAAGCCACTGAGGTTGCCAGACATGGCCCTATGTAATCTAGCCCCTACCGCTCCAGCTCTGTCCCTGAGCCCCCTCCCCCCACCTCCCCTCCCTTGCTCGTTCAGTCTGGCACCTTGTGCTAAGCCTGCTCTGTGCTAGCCAGCACATTGGACACTGCAGACATGGGGACAACCCGCCCCCCGCCAGGGCCTGCCTTCATAATGTGTCTGTCCAGGCTAGAGAGCAGGAAAACACATAGATCCCATTAGTCCCATAGCCAGGGAGCTGTGAGGACTCCAGGAGAAGAGGAGGTGCCAGAGCTGAGCTGTACAGGATAGGCAGGGGTACGGGGGTAGCAGGGAAGACCTGGGGGGACAGCAGCTTTGAACGCTTGGGAAGCTGTGGCTGTGATTTGGGGCCCCAGCAAAGGCACTAGAGTGCAAGTTTACAGAGAGATGGATGGCAGGGAGAGGAGGGGTTTTTTTTTTTTTTTTTTTTTTTTTTTAATTTATTTTTGCTCCAGGTCTTAGTTGCGACACGCGGGATCTTCGTTGTGGCATACAGGATCTAGTTCCCTGACCTTGGATCGAACTCGTGTTGCACTGGCAGGCGGATTATTTATAAATTTATTTATTATTTATTTATTTTTGTCTGCGTTGGGTCTTTTTTGCTGCGGGCTTTCTCTGGTTGCGGAGAGCAGGGGCTACTCTTCGTTGCGGTGTGCAGGCTTCTCATTGCAGTGGCTTCTCTTTTCGCGGAGCACGGGCTCTAGGCGCGCGGGCTTCAGTAGTTGTGGTTCATGGGCTCTAGTGCGCAGGCTCAGTAGCTGTGGCGCATGGGCTTAGTTGCTCCGTAGCATGTGGGATGTTCCCCGACCAGGGCTCAAACCCATGTCCCCTGCATTGGCAGGCAGATTCTTAACCACTGTGCCACCAGGCAAGTCCCTCCTCCTTCCTTCCTGATCTCACCCCATTACTCCTCCTCCCACTCTATCCTCCAGCTACACAGGTCTCCTTCCTGTTTCTCAAACACCCCAGGCCTTCTCCTGCCTCAGGGCATTTGCACTTCAGCTCTAATGTTCTTCCCCGACATTCCCATGGTTCCTGCCCTCACTTCCTGGTGGTCCATGCTTCCACTTGACCTCCTCAGAAAGGCCCTTCCCATCCCATCACTCTGAAAGAGTATCCTATTAGCCAGCTTCATAGTACCTGTCACTTCCTGATACATTATCTGCTCGCTGCCTATCCTACTAGCAATCGTAAGTGCTCAAAAAAGTGAAGGTTTTGTGTGTCTTGTTCACTGCTCTATTTCCCCAGTGTCTAGAACAGAATGTAGTAGGTGCTTAATAATTATTCGATCCCTGCCAAACAGCACTTCATTCAGCCCACAAGAGATTCGCCCATTTCAAGGATGTGGAAACTGAGATTCAGAGAGGCCAGGGACCTGCCGGCAGTCATGTGAGCTTGTCAAGCTGGAGCATCAGCTGCCACCTAGCTGAGTCTTTCCCCTCTGCTCCCCTGTGCTCCAGCTCCCTTCCCACCTGGAAAGTAAGACAGTGGTTCTGCCCCTCCCTCACCCCAGGGATAGGCAAGGCTGACAACCAGTGCCTCTGAACAGGGCCCAAGGTGGCATCGTCCTCAAAGGCTATGCCCAGGAGCCCACAGGGAGGGAGACCCCAGTGTCTCCCCAGGCAGGCAGGCCCGCCTTTGACCCTGCCCACACTTCCCTGGGACCACCCACCCTGCTCTCCCCCCACCACCACCTACTGCCTTCCTTTCAGCCACCACTGTCCCCCACATACCCTCAGAATGGATCTGGGGGCTGCTTTTCTCACCTCTATCCCTCCAGAGATACAGTAAGAAAGAGAGAAAAGAAACAGACCCATATGTAGCTACCAACAGAGAGAGATGGAGGAAGATGCGGGGGGTGGGGGCATGGGGGGCGTGGAGAGAAACCTGGAGAGGGGCAGGGGCTTGGCAAGTTCTGACATAACAGCTTGACTTAAACCTGCAGGACTGACCAGGGCCACTGCCCCCACAACTGGCCCTTTTAAGCAAATGAGAGGCACCTCTCGAGGTTCCAGAGCCTTGTCACCCTTGAGCCTAGTGCCCTGGTACAGGGCCCAACCTGCACAAGTGGTGCATGCCCCACCCACCCCCCTCCCCCGCCCCAGCTGTCTGCACACGCTGGAGAGGAGAAAACTTTAAATGCCACCCAGTCCTCAGGTCAGACCCACAGATGCATCGGCAGTGTTCCCTCGAAGCCTTTCAGAAACGCCTGACCTCTGTCCACGTGTGCCCTGAGCCTGCGCCCGGCCCTCTGCACCTGCCCGCCGCGCCTCCCCGCCGCTCCCCGCCCCCCGCAGGTCCCTGGGCCACGTCACCCCTGCCTTCACCACTCATGAGTGTCAGGCCACGCCCATCCACAGGAACCGGCCCAGGACCCTTCGGGGCCGGGGAGAGGCCCTCACACCTGTGCCTGCACACAGACCCCCCCC